TCACAGCCTTCAGTATCAGGTAGGAGCTCTTGCTGGAGCCTCACTGAAGCCTCACCAGTTAGATTTTCAAGGCTCTGCAACTCTCTGCCTCATCTACCTTATAGTACTGGAGAATGAGCAGGCAGGTGCTGGGCTCTGCCCACCATGTCTGATTTCTCATACCGCATCCTTTGTGTCTGTTCCCAGTCCACCCACCTCTGCAAACAGCCAGTCTCACTTCCACAGAAACACAGACCCGAACGAAAGCAGGCTTCCTGGCCCCAGTACAGCATGCTCACCGCAGCTGTTTGTTTTGTCTTGAGACAGATCTTATGTAGCTCAGGCTGGCCTGGAATTCCTGACTCTCCTTGTCCTGCTGAGTGCTGGGATTGCAGGCGGGCACCACCTCACCCGGTTTATGGTGGGCTTTATGCCTGCTCGGCTGAGCGGCATGCAACCCCAGCCCAGGTTCTTCTGAATTCTTACCTTCTGCCTATAGCTCACATTCAGGTTTCGTCCCACTCGTCAGGGTTCATTGCCGCAGCCCCCTGCCTGCTGCGTTCTGCGTCAAGGGAGTTAAAAACATCTGCCTGGAGAGCTGTATAGGTAACTAATAAAGAGACAAAGGACAGCTGGCAGGGGAAGGAAGCTTGAAGTAGCTCTGGGGGCAAGATCTGGACAGGGAGGAGGAGGTGGTTGGAGCCGCATGGAGGACCATGTGAGAGGGCTGTGTGACAGTTCTGGGGACCCAGAGGTATCTGGACACAGCAGTGTGTGTCCGTGACAGCCTGTACGTGATGTGCATATGCACGTGCTGTGCGTAGGCACCTGTGAGTATCTGTAGGCAGGTGTGTGCACCTGGCCATTTGCCTGCAGAAGGTTTAGGACGATGGTGATCACATGGGAAGTGGGTGCTGGGTGCTAGGCACTTAGATTCAATTTACAGTACTGTTTTGTTTTTGTTTTTGTTTTTTTTAATTTACATTGTTTTGTGGGTGGTGCTAATCCTAGCTGCCCGGGATGTTGTATAATGAAGTGCTTTATTCACTTTTCCAACAACTCATGATTTCATGTTGAAAATGAATCAGAGCAAAGAGGTGCCAGTGCCTGTTGTGGCAAAACTCTTCTTGACTGAAGAGTTGCCTGGGGCTGAGCAATTGCAGCCAAGAAGGACAGGCTGACTGAACGCTGTTACAATGGTGAATTAAGGGGACCCGGTAAGAGCTTGTGTGCAGCTAGCCAAAGCCATCTGCAGTGCTTGTCAGTACAATGCCCTAGGAGTGAATGCTACTGAGTAATTTCCAGGTCACTGTTAGGTTTCCTTTTTGTTTTTAAGACAGGAACTCCTTTGGCCAATGTTGGTCTGGAACTCATGGTAGATGAGGGTAACCTTGAACTCCTGATTCTTCTGCTCCTACCTCCCGGATGCTGGCATACAGTCGTGCACTGCCGTGCCTGGTTTTTGTGGTGCTGGGGTGGAATCAGGCTTTTGTTCAGGCTGTGGCCCAGCCCCATGTCTGAATTTCTACTGAAATATAATTAGACCATAGGCTTCCCACTGAGGTGAACTTCACACTTTGAAGTTATTTCAGTATTTTTACAGGAGTCTTTGAATTTGTACCTTTTAGTTGTTAACATATGTGTGAGTATGTGTCCAGGGAGGTGCGACTCCAGAACTGTAGTTACAGGCAGCCGTGGACTGCCCGCTTTGGGAGCTGGGAACTGAACCCAGGTTCTGCAGGAGCAGTGTGTGCTCTTGACCTCTGAGCCATCACTCCAGCCCCAATTCAGGTTTTTAAATATATGCAGAGCCCCAGTTATTCTTCTTCGTAACTACTGGCAGCCGCTGATTGCCTTCATGTGTCCTTAGTTCCTGCTTGCCTGTTTTTTCTGTCAGTGGAATTATGCAATATCTGACTACTGCTTCTGACTTTTCAGTTTACACATCCATGAAAGCACATCCATGTTTTTACATATATTTGTCATGTTGGTATCCCCATGTTTTTGTTTGTTTGTTTGTTTTATTTTTATTTTATTTTTAATTACACTTTATTCACTTTGTATCCCCCCTCTAGTTCCCTTCTTCTTGCCCTCCCAACCCCTCTCTTCCTCCCCCTTCTCCACACATGCCCCTCCCCAAGCCCACTGGTAGGGGAGGGTTTCTTTTTCTTCCTTCTGATCCTAGTCTATCAGGTCTCATCAGGAGTGGCTGCATTGTCTTCCTCTGTGGCCTGGTAAGGCTGCTCCCCCCTCAGGGGGAGGTGAGCGCAGAGCAGGCCAATCAGTTCCTGTCAGAAGCAGTCCCTGTTCCCATGTTTTTATTTTTTGAGGCAGGATCTTGAGCTGTATAGCTGAGGCTAGGCTAAGTCCCATAAATGCTGGCATTACAGCTGTGTGTCATCCACCACATATGGCAGAGGCCTTGCCTTTTTTTTTTTTTTTTTTTTCAGCTTTGGTATTCTGTGATGGATTTGCCACACGTGGGCTCTGCCTAATCAGATGATGGCATGTGAGTGGTTTTTGCCTCTGTTCTATACTCAGATGCTCCTTGAACCTGAAACTGAGAAACTCAGGATCATGGACTTGGGAAATGGCTCAGTTTGGAAGGTGCTCAAGAAGACTTCTGTTTGAATTGGTCCTCCTGGGGGGTGGGGCTATGTAAAAAGCCAGGTGTGGCAGCACCGGTGACCCCCGTGCTATGAGACGGCAGGCTAGCCTAAGTGGCAAATCTAGGCTGGTGGAACACTATTTCAAAGAGTAGGTGGAAGGCCCTTGGGACTCACACTCAGGATTGATCTCTGACCTCAGAGTGTAAGCTCTGTGTGCATACATCTGCAGACGTATGCATTAAGAGAGAAAAATCACACCTGGCCCCAGAGACCAGGAAAGCCATCGAGAGTCTTGGCCTTGAACGTCAAGGGAAGCAGCGTTTAGGCAATGGAGAGTCTTGGGAATTGTGGAAGATTTTGCTAATGTTGAAGAATAATTCTACATAGGTAGCAGGGATAGTGTGAGTCATTGTCCAAGACTTGAGTAGGAAGGCTGTTTATCTGCCAGTCTGAAGTTTACTCTATCAACATTGCATTTAATAATTGGCAAAAGCAAGCAGCAGAGGCTTGCTCTCCTCTGCTGGTGGTTTAATATGCTGGCCAATTACTTTGAATTTTGTTAATAGTCTGACTCAACAGAAACTGCGGTTTCTGAGTATAAAACCTAGTGTGGTGGCACTAGCCTGTAATTTTAGCACTCAGGAATGGACACAGGGGGACCAGAAGTTCAAGGTCCTCTTCAGCTAAGAGTTTGTGGCCAATCTGGGGTACTTGAGACTCTGTGGGGATTAGAGGAAGCCCTGAATATGTGAAGACCTAAGTGGGTTTGTGCTGTTGACATGGCGTGAACATGTCAGGGACCTTCCCCTCAAACCCCTGGGAAAATGGCAGCCTTCCCTTCTGCTCCATGTGTGGTTGTTAAGAGAGTCTGTCCAGAAAATGTCCGTCATTGCTTTCTACCCCTGGTCTTTTTGACTTTTTTTTTTTTTTTTTTTTTTAGAAGATTGCTCTTCTGCAGAGGCTGTCCCAGCCGAGATTAGCTAAACCTGCTTCCTCTTCAGCTGTATACTTAACCTGCCACTGTCCGGCTTTTTGGAACAATCTAGCCTCTCTGTCCACCTCACACAAACTGAGCTTGTAGGGTGCTGCAGCTTCTTAAAGCCCCGCTTTAATGGAATCACCATTCCCAGCTTTTCTGTGTATCCATCTGTCTGTTTTCCCTTGTTGTCCTAGTCTGTTCTAAGTCCCTGGAGCTGTGCAAAGGACAAGGCAAGGCTTGGTCTCAAAAATAAAAAGTTCCAGAGTAATCTCCAGTGTTGTAACTATGTGTCTTCCGAATTGGACTCATGAATTCCTCTTGAGGTAAATGCACAGCAGAGTGCTGAGTCTTAGTACTCAGAAGAAAACTGCTCGCTCTTGGTTGGGAGTGTTTAATTGAGATACAAAACCTATATGCCATAAAATGTCACCTGTATACAAGTCGGTGGTTTTTAGATATCCTAGAGCCACCGCCACAGTCAGTTAAGAGCATTTCCTTCACCCCAAGGAGCCACCAGCCGCTCCCCTTGGCTACCTCTGCCCTCCTTCCCCAGCCGGACCCTGCAAAGTGTTACTGTTTGAAAAGTTCTCCTTTGGCTTTTATTCTTTTCTTCTTTAGTTTTTTGAGGCAGAGTTTCTTTGCATAGCCTTGGCTGACCTGGCACTAGCTCTGCAGACCAGGCTGGCCTCGAAGTCACCAGAGATCTGCCTGCCCCTGCCTCCCGAGTGCTGGGCTTAAAGACATGCACACCACCACCCAGCTCTTCTTTACCTCTTTGTGTGTGTCTTTGGGTGGGTGTGTACACACTAGTGTAGATACCAGGAGAGGCCAGAGGCTTGGGAGCTGCCTGAACTGGGCTCTGTTGCTATTTGTCTGTCTATCTGTCTATCTGTCTATGGTCTTTATGGATGTTATTTGCGACTTCTTTTTTCTCTGGCATCCTGGCATTTGTTGAGTTAGATTTTTGTTTGTTTTGTGTATTGAGGTGTGCACGTGTACCAAGGCCTGTGGATGATAATATGCAGGTGTGTGCTCTGCCCTTCCACCATGTGGGTCCTGGATGCTGACAGGACACCAGGCTTGGTGGTGGTTGTCTT